ACTGCGAAGCTGATACTATTCTTCATGTGGGTAAAATATTTCATTATTTATTTTATTGACTTCATACTCTGCATAATTTTTCATTAAGGCCATTAGTTGAAAGGAATATTATTTATTTAAATAAAATCGTGCCATCTAAGTTTTAAAAACAATTTCAATTATATACTGCAATAGGTTGACCTCGCTGTCAGCTTGGTTTTACTGTCAGGGCGACTTAGTAGAATACACCTTCCTCTACTCCCATCGTGAATTTAATTCTTTCATCAATCTGGTTTATAAACTTCAGAAAATCTTCCAGTTTTTCTTTTCAACGTGACCAAAGTGCGAAGCATTTTCATCCGAAGCCTACGTCTAACAGATGTGGAATTATGGGACGAGGAGTTGGACAAATTGACTAGAATATTCCTTGGTAGCGGCTACTCAGTCGAAGTAATACAAATAAACATAGGGGACATGAAAAGCCGACGGCAGAATCGGGACAGGATGGAGAAGGATTCACAAAAGTGGATATGCCTACCTTTCTGCGTACGAACTCAAAATGCACCGAAAAATTATTGGTCAAAAGTCTAAAGATTATCTTGATCTATTCCAAGAAGTAAATAGAAATAATTCATAACTCTTTAGCCACGTTCATATTTTCTCAAATTAAACCTTCCTTTAAAACTGTTTATCACATCCTAAATTTTCATATTTCTCGAACGCAATCATTTTCTCTCAAATTATCTAGTTGTCTCCTATTTCCGAGACAACCGGCAGAAAAACAATGACTGTAAATAAACATTTCACCGATCGGGGAAAGCTGAACAAGACCGACCCAGAAACTGCTGAGGCTATTAGGATTGTTTCAACAATTGAGACTGTGGATGCAGAGATGTCAAGCGACAGAGCTGGCTCCAGTCTTCTCCGTGCTCTCAAAGTAATTTTATTCTATAGCTATGTCCTTTTTCTCCTTATCTCAATTTAGGATTGAAATTATACATTTCTTACGTTTTAAGTAAGATGTCTAACCTACAGTTTAAAATTTATAAAAAATCGGACTCAATCCTCTTGATTCCGTTACAAGATTTTTATAGTTCACCATGGTTCGTTTTTAATTTACTCAACATCTTCAGTATCGTTTGCAGTTACTCCACAATCGGTTCTTATAATATGTGAGTGCTACAATTTTTAATCATATAACCTGCAATTGTATTCCCTATTTTTCGCAACTCCGTCATATTGGTAGGAAGACTAATTGGAACGCACCTATAATACATAACCTATTACTTCCTATGCGCTAGTCTTTTGTATGCCAAACCACAAATGTTGTGGTTCAACGTTGTATTCCCTATTCTCTATATCCTTAGTAAAGCAACTGGGAGACTCGTATGCTTCGGGCGAACAGAGTGTAAAATCAATTTGCTTATGGGCTTCAAATCTAGCAACCAGATGAGAGGCGCACATTCACTTAAGCTTTTACGACTTACCTCTTATTTTTTCAAATTGATATGTATGATAGTAATATATGGCATTTAATATTTTTTAAGATACGTCTTGAAAGCTTTAGTAATTCTTGAATAGGGCCTTGCGCACCCAAGGCCATGTAACTTGATTGAAATGCTAATAGTGGATTTTTTTCCAATTTTGCTGAATAGGACTCACGATTTTACAGAACTTCACTTGGCTTCCAAAAGCTCCCATCGTTGCGATATTGCCATTCCGCTACACCACCGTGCATGTTAATGCGTCAGAGGGCAAGTGGAACATTCGAAGAGCCAAGCTTCTTTAAAAGCTAATTTCAATATAATTGTCGATTAGACACACATGTATTGAGTTATGTATTTTTATTAGCAATATATAACTCTATTAACTTTAGGAAAGGTCGCCTAACATGAAAAAAATACACTTTTGCAGAATCATATCCAAGCTTTTTAAAGCATATCTCATTCCTTTTATATCTATTCTGCCTTCATCCACTGCTCTAGACTATTACTTTTACTATTATTCCACAGGCCAGTCGACAAGAGGCTGAAGATGCCGATCTTAGGCTTGCGCTCCACTTATCCACTGCCTCATCGGACACACAGGTCAAAGCTCGGACTATTGAAGCTCCTATTCTCCAGTCCCGTCCAGCAGGCTCCATGATCCGAACCGGACAACCCTCTTGCTCGTCATCCGATTTCTCTGGCCAATCATCGCACCTACTCAATCATTCGCCCGAATCGGATGCAGCTCATTTACAGGATTGTGTTGATGAGGACGCAAACGAGGACCTCATAAAAGCTATTAGTATGAGCCTCGAACAAATGCCTAGCAATTCAAACAGTTCAGGTTGTTCTTAGATCTGAATTAATAGTTCTCTTTCCATTTGTTTGATTTTCGCATGATATTTCATTTGGTTTTGTGCCTGGTTTTCACACCTCTTAGCTCAGGCTTCAGAATACGAGAACAGTTAAAGCATTCGTTTTCTGTGTATATTTATTTTTTAAATATTTAAATACATTTAAGAAGCTTAAGTTGGAAGATACTACGAACTAGTACGGTAGAACTCTATTAATAAGCCATCACTTATGATTTCATAATATCTGTATTTTTCTTCGGGTCTCTTTTAGACCATTTTTTACTGAGGCACAAAGTTAGACTTTTTTTAGTTTCTATTTTTAAAGTTAACTGCTGCACTCAGCGACTTATTTAATAAGAATGTTCATCTCTTAGGTTATACAAACTTCGAAATGGAATACTGTTTACTTTCGTGCTGGTGACTTTAAAATGCCCGTGAACCTAAAGCATTTGTAAATTTGAGCTCATTAACTTCTCGGATCGCTTAGATTTGGAAAACATAACATTTATAATCTCCAGCAAAAAATCATTTTTTCTAGTCAAGAGGAGCAGGCTACAGACTGTACATAAGAGAATCACCTACACACGCATTCAGACAAATTCTATAAGATTTAGATAGTTTTGCTTAACCTCATTTGAATCATGCTGGCGAAATAAATAAGAAAATCAATAATATCAATTGATATATCATTTAGTTCAAAATATGATCATTATCTTATAGACGATTAGTCTTGAATATGTGATTTTGTAAAGGTTAAGAATGAAGCCATAGTACGATCGTCTGATATACAAAAGACCAGGGCTAGCATTGGTCTATCGGTTTTGGCAGGCGGGGTACTTTATACCACTTAGTAAATAATACATTCCATTTTCATAAACTAGAAATCACTTTTGGGA